GGGGGGGGGGGGGCCGCCACGAGGAAAATCGCAGCCGCCGCGGGCTCGAACGAACGCGACGCCGAGGGCCCCCTCGCAGGGCCGCCCCCCACCGATGAGCGTCGGCGCGGCCCCTCACCGAGGCGCACGGCCGCTCTCGACGGGAAAACCCCCCTCCGCCGCTTCTGCCCTGCGCGGGGGAAAAAATGGAAATCCGAATGGAAATGCAGGCGAAAGTGCAGGCGGCGGAGGAGGGGGAGGGGGGGGGTATAAGGCGGCGTCGGAAATGCCATCCGGGGAATCCCCTGGCGTCGACGTCGCCACGATGACGACGAGCGCGGGCGAAGGGGGGGGAGGGGCCCCTCCCTCCTCCCCCTCCCCCATTTTTCCCATTTCCGCCTCCTCCTCGCCGGCGACGTCGGGGTTTGCCTCCGCGTTTAAACTCCGACAACGGCCGGATCCGCAGTGGTGCCGTCCGTTGGAGGAAATCCTCGGGATTTACACCGGAGGTCCGCGAGGGTGTCGGGCCGGGCAGCCCGGCCATGATCCCGCGGTGTATCAAAAATTTTTAGATTTCATCCGACGTCTGTTGGAGTACGATCCTCGGCGACGAATGAACTGCGCGGAGGCGATTCGACATCCGTTTATCGCGCCGCTGATTGAAATGGAAGCGAAGGCGGCCGCCGCGGCCGCGCAGTATCTGTAGAGGCAAGGCGCCTAGGAACGACCAGCATCGATACATTAGATACCGATCTATTGATCTATACGAATATAGAGAAATGGATTCATAAATATGGAAATATGTATGCGGGTAGGTGTGTCTAAGCGCGTTCAACTTATATTTGCTTAGCCCGTTAACCGCAAATCTTTGTTTGACGCACGATGGGAAACGAACAGGAAGGGGGCGGAGGAAATCCCGGGTTCTTTTTTTATATGCATATTCATATATATATATATATATATATGCGTGTGTGAAAGTATTCGTCTGTTTAACACCTTCACTTCTTTCGATGTTGTTGGTATCTTTTTTTGACAGTGGTCATCGTACATGTTGCTATTACGGCTCCTCTTGGGGAGATTCCCCATCCCCAGCTCTCACTTCATATCCCGCCCCTCCCTCCCCTTCCTCTTCCTCTTCCTGAAGGGGTTTTTTTCTCCCCACCACCATCATCAAAAACACACATTTCTTTCAGGGAGAAAAGTATAGAGCAATGCTAAACGAGGAGTGCGATTTCCTCAACAACACGGCCTTGCTGGATGGGTTTTACACCCGGGTGTACCCCACCAGCGAGGAGCTCCAGCACGAGATCGGCGTCACCATCTCGGAGGAAAAACTTCAAGAGATCGTCGCGGAGCTTCGGAACGAAGTCGACCTTTTAAAAGTCGAAACCGAGGTCCTTGAGTATCACGGCTCTCCGCAACAACTGCAATGCCCGAGCACCCGTCTGAAAGACTCTACGAGTTCGCTCAATAACGACAGCAACACTCTCTCCACCTCGGGAAACGAAGACGGAGGCGGAGGAGGAGGAGGAGGGGGGGGGAATCTTCTCCTGACCTTCAGCGGTAGCGGCATTCTCTCCGGCTCGTTTAAACGGAGTGGCGAGGACGCGACGGGGGCGGGGAACCTCACCCTGAAACTCCCCCCAGCCGCCTCGTTAACCGGGGCGGAGTTAAAACCCCCGACCGCCGCCCGACGGGGGAAAAACTACCAACGCAAAACCGACGAATCCCTCGGGCGCTACGTCGCGACGGCGGATAAAACGGCGATGCTCGCGAAGGAGGAGGAGCGACTTCTCGCGATCGAAAAAAACGACGAGGCGGCGGCGGATCAGATCCGAGGGGTGTTGATTGCCACCGCGGAGGAAACCGCGCGACGGGCGAAGGAGCTGCGGTTGGAGCGCAAACTTTTCGCGCGAAGCGTCCTTTCCGGGGGGGAATTCGATGAAAAAGGCGACCCAAACGGCCCGCGGGCCTCCGCGGAGGAGCTGCTTCGTTATTTGGAGCACCGCACGAGCGCGCATGAGAGTTATTTGGATAAACTGCGAATGCAATGCGCGGCGACCGAGCAGGAGATCGCGCGTGCGCAACGTCGACTTCGTCAGCATCAAGTCGCCGGGGAAACCTTCCGTCCGGTGGACTTTGAGCAGCTCGGGATCGAAAACGAGCAGTTCAACGAGCGTGCGGAGCAAAAAAGCGCGGAGCTGGTGGAGTTAAAAGGCGCCTCCACGCGCACCGTGCAGGCCCTCAACGCCACCACCGACGCCCTCAACGACCTCGTCGCCGAGCAAAATCAGCTAAAAAAAGAATACAAAAGCCGCTGTGAGTACCTCGCGCGCTGCACGAAGGAGATGAGCTCCGTCGCGAAGGAAGTCGTCGTGGCGGAGAAGAAAAACGAGGCGATTCGCGCGAAACACGAATCCGTGCGGGCGCCCACGATTGAGGAGTACATCGCCCAACGCGCGGAGCTCTTCGAGCTCGAAAAGGCGGAAAAGAATTGGCGGCGAAAGGTGGAGATCGCGCAAGGGCAGGTCTGCGCGCTCCGCCAGAAGGCTGCGAAGCTCACGGTGAACCGAAACGCCGCCCTCGCGTACGCCGTTAAGCGGCAAAATCAGCGCGCGACGAACCTCAAGGCAGATACGCGAAATCTCCGAAAGGCTTCGTTGAAATACACCCCCCTCCCGCCCCCAACGCAATCGCACCCGGGGATGGTCAAAGTGGCCGACGGCGATCCATTCCGAGCCCCTCCGCATGGGGAATCGCTCGTGGCGAATTCAAAGTCCCTCATTCACGCGAAAAGACAAATGAAGGGAAATTAGATCCCCGCGATGCCAAAACAGACCATTTCCCCCCCCCCCCTCCCCCCGCCTTTCACCCTCATCCTCCAATGTGTGGAGTGCTCTTGAACGGAACATACGTCAATAAGTTTTTAGGATGTAAAATGATGCATGGAGTCAAGGTTTATTGCTTGATGTACTAGGAAGGATATGTTTGTATTTGCTTGTTTGGATGCAATACAACTAATAAATGGAAACGGTCCTCGAGTAGGGAAGTGCCTCGTCCTATTTCTTCTTATCCTTTTTAAATCTTTTTTCTTTTAACTATATTGGTGCATTTATGTATCTATCCCTAGTTAAGTAAAGATAGAGTGGTGATCCCTCTCTGAGCTTTCTAAATAAACAAATTACAGCTTAATTAAAATATATACATAAGTATATATTTATACATATTTTGTTTATTGATTTATTTTCATCTATCTCAACGATTCGTTAAAGAAGCAGAAATTTAAAAAAAAGAAAACCATTTGCATGGAAGAGCTCGATCTTTTCCTCAAAAAGGCTGAAAAGAAGCAGGCCAAGAAGAAGTCTAAGAAGAACAACCCCGAGAATGAGGGCAAATCGTTTCACAAGGATACCTTCGCTGGGATCGATTTAATCGCGAAGGAGGAGCCCGTGGCAGCCGCGACGACGCCGGAAGAGGAGACCGCGGCGGCGGTCCCCTCGTTGAACGCCGAGGTGGTCTCCCCCGTCGTCGTAACGATCCAGGCGGCGAGCAACAACACGCGGCGGGTGAAGACGTGGGAGGAGATCAAAAAAGAGCAGCAGGAGGAGGCCGCCCTCGCGAAGCCCGATCCTGTCAACGAAGAGAAAAAGGAGGAAAAGAAGGAAGAGATGCCGAAGAAGTTCGTCGCGCGGGGGAATCGAAACGCGACAGGGGCGATCGCCGGAGCCGGCCCCGCCAGGCGGCCGTTCCGCGTAGAGGATCTTCCAACCCTTGAGGAGGTGTTCTCCGGGAAAGCGAAGCGGACGACGCCCGGCTCGCCCGCGTCGCCCACCTTGGCAAACGCGAAAGGCGAAAAGGAAAATGGCAACGAACGCGTCCAGGCGGCGCCGGAGGAACCGAACGCGGAGGCCGAGGCCCCGGCGGTGAAGAAATACACCCCGCCGACGGGCCGTCCAGGGGTGGCGTACTCGCCTCCGCCTCCCACGACCGCGGCCCCCCCTCCTTCCTCTTCTTCCCACACCACGGAGGCCTACAAACCCCCCCTTGCGCGGGCGCGGGAAAAGGAGCCGTGGAGCAAAACCGGCGCGGCGGCCTACTCGGCCAAGACGACGACGACGACGGAGCCCTACAAGCCGCCGTCCAGGCCGCGGGAGGGCCCCGCCACGGCCCCGGCTCAGCCCACGCCCACTAGCGAGACTGCGACAGGGACTACCCCTACTACGACTGTGACTCCTACTACTACTACTCCTACGACTGTGACTCCTACTACTACTACTCCTACGACTGTGACTCCTACTACTGCTACTCCTACGACTGTGACTCCTACTACTACTACTCCTACGACTGTGACTCCTACTACTACTACTCCTACGACTGTGACTCCTACTACTACTACTCCTACGACTGTGACTCCTACTACTGCTACTACGACGACGACGACGCCGGCCTCTAAGAAGTACGTCCCGCCAACGCGGACAGGGGGGGATCCGAGTCGGGTCTATCGTCCACCCCCTCCCTCGAACCCGACAAGGGAACCCTCCACGGCGTGGGGACGAAGCGGAGGCGGAAGTGCAACAGGGACGGGGACGGGGACCGGCGCCGGAAGCGGGAGTGCGGCAGCGACGGGGGCGGGAAGTGGTAAGTACGTTCCCCCTACATCACGCTCCAGTGGGACGGTGTATCGGCCCCCTTCTAAACGGGATTCGTAGAATCCCCCTATGACAACAAAAAGGGGGGTGTACGATCGGTTTCCTTTTGTTTGTATGGGTGTGCTTGGGTCAGGGTATCATGAAGAATGAGGAGGTGTTGAGGTGTCTTTTGATGCAGCAGAATTGTAGCTTCGATGGTGAAGCGAAAGGTTAAAATAAAAGTGTCTTAATGGGTGGATCACAACGGGATGACTTGAATACATACTTGACTAATCATTGAATCTTCATTTTAATATCCCTTTCGGGTAACTAATTTAAAGAGAAGGGTTAACATCAATGTAAGAAACAATATGAGATCCTTTTCGTTGGAGGAGCAGGGTGCCGTGTTCCCCAATCGCAACTCTCTTATGAGATGACTTGAGTATAATATTATAGTTGGTGAGCATTTAAAAATCTAAAAGGCGTTATATTCATGAATTTTACAGATTACGCTGCATGATTTAATATTAAAGTATGAATTTGATCCTACTCCATTGGAGTGTTGGTTCGTTAATATGGGATTCAATTTTGCGTCTTATCACTTAAAATTCTGCGCCCAGCTCTCAGAAGCTAGAGAAGCACACCATATAAAGAGAGAAAGAGATATAGAGACTCCAAGGGGAAAAACTTCCCAAAATCATATCAAGTGGAAGGTTATAGCTACTATTGAAAAGGTTTTTTTGCTTTTCTTTTTAAAAAAAAATGCAGTATGAAGAGACTAACAATTCACCTGATATCATATCACAGACGCCCCAATTGATGATGTGGGATGGTGCGTTAAACAACGCCCTCATGGGGCAGCTTCGAAAATGTGTAGCGCGGAGTCCCCCTGCGGAGAACCATGAGGGAAAGGAACCGCAATGCCCTGTCAGCGAAGACCCCTTTTCAGATCAGGATGGGTGGAAAGATGTACTCGTATCGTTAAAGAGCATAGAAAAGGAGTGGTTGGGCGCTATCCTCCGCGTGGAGCGCCCTCCGCGGAGGGTCTTTCAGGTTGAAGCGACATCGCCATCCACACCACACAGCCCCAACGCCGCGACTTCATCGTCGCTGCCGAGTGAGGTGCCGATAGAGGGGCTCTTCCACGCGCTAGAGGATTGTCTTCCCACAAAGGCAATCCTCTCCGTGGAAGGTGAACATGAAAACCGCGAGCTAGGGTATGCAAGGAAGAAAGAAGGGAGTGGATCAGATCCCTTGCAGGATCCTGGCGTCGTGCGCGGTTTAACTGCGCAGGAGATCGTCCTCGGGGAGAGGTCGTGGGCATCGCTGCTGTTGCAATATACCGAACTCCGCGAGGCCGTAAAAAGGCTCCACCCTCGCACGCAGATGATAGATAAAGGTGAAAGAGCGGAAAATAATGACGAAGGCGTCATGAAATGCGATATTCGACCATCGAATCTCTCCCAACCCCACCTGCAGGGGAAATCTACGACGTCCGAGGAGGTTCTCGATCATCTTTTACATACCTGTGGCTTCATCCACTTTGGTAAGGGAGAAAAGGTAAATGGGGTTTGGCGGATCCCTTCCCCGCTGTTGTTGCGTCTCTCCGCGCGAGCGACGGATTCCTTCCCGCAGCGGCTTTTGGAGGCTCTCGCGGCCTCTCTTCTTAGCATTTCCGGCGTAGGAAGCTCACATGGGATTACGTTCGAGCCCGCAAAGAAGATCCTCCGCGAGGAGTTGGGGATTTCGCCACGAAACGAAGCGGAAAAGGAGGTTGAAGCCCTCTACGGTAAGATGCCGTTTGTAGTGGGGATTCTTCGACGTTTTCGAAAGGGAAATCCATCTCTTCGGGTTCGTCTGCTTCCCGCCGAGGAGGTCGTCCTTCCCATGAAAGAGGGGAAGGAGCCCAGGATGGAGGAGGAGAAGTCGTTGGAAGCGCAGGAAACGGTCGTGGAAAGCCCCTCTGTTTGGAATCGTTTTACAACCCCTTTCCACGCGTTGATGTTCGAACTCGCCGGCCCAGAAGATGAGGAGGATAAAAAGAAGGGGGAGGAAAACGCGGGAGAGGCCGATGACGATGACCAGCCTTCTCCCGAGCGGATCTGGCGGCGATTGGTTCCCCTCACTCATTTCCTCCACGTGGCGGGCTCACGCGGGCAAATCCTGCGCACCTTTCGTGATGTTACCACGGCATTGAAAGCCGTGGATCGTCGGGAGCCCTCACCCCCTGCCCGTCGTGAGGAGAGCCCACCACGGCTCCACCACACCATCGTGCACCGCAGCGATGACGAGGAGCAGCCCCTCCTTTTAGAAACCCCTGCTTTCGCCCCGAGGTATCGTTTTTTCTTCTCCCTTCTGCCTGACGCCGCGAAAGGGGAGGAGGAGGGGTTGACAGAGGTCGAGAATCCACGCAAAGAAGAAAAGGTGGTGGAGGGGGAGCAGGAAAGAAATGACAAGGAGCGTCAAGAAGAGGAACAAATCGCATCCCGATTAGCCTCCCTCATCGAGGTGGAAGGGGTCGGGGCGCGAGTCTGGGTGGAGGTGACCCCCCTGGCAGCATCAGAGGCCGCACTCGTGGCGTTTCTCCTCCTTCGTTATCTTCCCACTCGCGATGATCGAAGTAACGGCAACATGGAGGTGCGGGAGCCCGTGTTTTACAGTTTTCTCACGTGGCGATTGATGTGGTGTGAAAGGGCAGAGATCGTGAGAAGGGGAGCAGAAGAGAGAGAGAGGAATCGCCGCGCTGTGGGGACCCTAACTCCCCCTTATGACGGTTTTCCCACACACAAGGGGGGTGTATTAGCCCTATCGCACGGGCGGAACCTTCGCGAAATAGCAGTTTCCATCCAAAAGGGTCTCGCGAAGCTGCTCCTCGTCGTCGCGGCACGGCATCAGCAGCAGGCTGTACGGGCGCTCGCCTCGCGGGCGGTCTTCCCTCAAATCAAACGTTCTCCCATCGAAATCCGCCGCCCCCATGGCGTTCAGCGCAAAAATCTCGTGGAGGATGCGACGGAAGGCGACCTCGTCGTCTTCCCGACGTCCGTAACCGCCTTCTTTGAGAATGGCCGGCAGGAGGTGCTCGCGATCGCGGGCGGGAGCGACGAGAAGATTATGAGCCTCCAAGAGGTGCTCGCGCTTTCCACGGCGATCGCGCAGGAGGTGATGGACCTCTTGGCTAAGGGGTCGGGGGGATTTGGATTTGGCTCTGCCGGTTCACGCCATCCGTCGAGGGGGTCTTTTACCACGCATGAGAGTTCTTCTCCGCGGGTGGAGTTGGAATCATGCCTGGAAACGCGTTTCCGATCCGACGAACTCGCCACGGCGCGGCGGGCGCTCACCTTCGCGGCCGCCCGGGATCGTCTTCGGGTGTTATGTCGACCGCTGGTTCACTTTTTCGAGAGCGAGGTGTACAAAAACGCGATCGAGACGGCCCCGCGATTGGGGATGGAAGGTGTTGGCGAAGGAAAATCCGACGCGTCGGGCGGGGCGATGCCGTGTGGGAGTGGAAATCCCTTGGGGATCGCATACCAACAGTTCATTCTACTCTGTGCGGTATTGGTTCGGCAATTTTGGCTTTGCCGGCTTCTACCATATGGCGGGCTCCCACCCACGGCTCACCTCCATCCCAGCCCGGGGGGAGAGGTTCGGGAGGGCGAGAGGTATTGGGATACCCCTTCCCCGCCGGCCTGCGAACCGGAGTCGAGCCCAGAGACCCCACCGATGGGTAGGCGCGGGAAAGACGCGCCGATTCCCCCCATCGCCAGCCTGGAGGCGGCGCTTAACGGCACCCGAACGAGGGTCCTCCCGCCGCTTTTAGGTGGCACCTTCTCCTATCCTCTCAGCCAAATCCTCAACGCAATCTCGGCAGGGGACGACATCCCACCCTCTACGTTCGTCTCCTGGTTGGATCGAAGAAGTCGGGGCCCGTCCACCAGCCTCGACGTTTCGATAGGGATCCACGAGGCGCACTCGGAGGATGAGGTCGACTACAGCACCGAATCGGTGGTGCGGCTTCTCAGTACTCAAACCAAACCGTTGCTATCTCAATTGTCCTCTCGAGGTTCGTGTGGAAAGGTGGAGGTGTTAAGCAAGGACGGGCAAGAGCCATGTGGTGTTTCCGACCTATCCACGGAAAGCACCCCCACGCATTGGCATGAGAGCCCCTTGCTGCGGGAGGTCGACACGTGTAAACGCGTTGTCTTTGCCGATCTGTTCGCGCGTTGGATACTTCCACATCTTCTAGCCTTAACTCAAAGGTGCCATCCGTACTCCTTGACAACACTCTCATCTTCATCAGTACCAATCAACGCTCCTTTGACGACAGACGACGAGGTAACCTTTATGGGGCAGCATTATCTATGTCGGGGAGGAGACGCTAGATTCAAACGTCTGGTCACGTTTACGTCTTCGCCATCCCAGCAGCATTCAACAGATTCACTGGACGAAGTGACGCGTCCGTGCAGGCTCGCCCCGCTGGAGCCCATCTCAAGGCATCCCAAGAAGAGTGCGGTGGAAAATGAAAGTGGAAAAAGTACCGAGGAGCAAAAGCACTCCCTCTTGTTGATCAAGACCACCCTAGTTCGAATGATTATGGTGTGCAGACAAGCTCTCCAAGAGTACGCATCCCTATCAAAGGGTCAAATAGCAACGCCACAAGAGCCAACTTACCTTCCTGTACAAGACGGCTCCCTATCGACGTTTCCTTCTGAGAGCTTTGCGATCACCGGTGAGGACAACGATGGCGGTGGAAAACTCGTAAGTAGGATCGAGGGGGACGCGAGCGCGACGGAAAAAGCTGAAGGAGCGGACCTGGCCCTCAGCCTAATCCGATACACCCTCTCTATGGCGTGCAACGTGGCGCTCGAAGTCGATCGATTGATTACCATGGGCTCGATGCCAGTCCTACAGGCTATAGACTTTAGCACGCCATGCCATTCGAGAAAAAAGTCCATCGTGCCGATATGCACGGTCGACAACGCACCGATGTCGGGCAGCTCCGCACGCCTGCTGAGCGGCTGCAGCCCGTTCGCGTACCTCAAGGCCTTCCGCAACTCCCCCGTCCCGGCCGTGCACCTGCCGCGCTGCCTAAGTGGGGTGGAAGCGGCCGATTCGACCGAGATCGCGGAGTTGAGTTTGTGGCACCCCCATCTTTGCCACCGCTCCCTCTCCGTCGCGGTCGCGCAGGACAAGACGCCGGACCACCCCACCCCCACCTACCCCTCCCAGACCTACCTCCCGCTCTGCCTGCTGAGCCGCGCCGCCTTCAACGAGTACACCTCGCTAAGCCAAATGACCCGAGGGGGCTTCACCCTCACGAGCTCCCACCGCTACGAAAGCACCCGGGGCGACACCTCCGCAAAGTCCAGGGACGCGAGGGAAAGCCCCGCCCAGCTGGGCATCTCGGTCGACGAGGACTCTTCGCCAGCCCAACGGGACGGGTCCGGGGTGAGGGATGAAACGCAGGACAGGGAGGCGGACGGCGACACCGCCACAGAGGCCGACCGACGCGAGCCCTGTGACACCCACCCCACCTCGAGGTATCCTT